TTGCCTCATCTTTTGTTTCTTGAATGCTGAGGATGGTTCCAATGGCTGGGGCGTTAGTCCAGGTTTAGGTTTTGATGGTTCGGTCATTCAGAGGGAGATATTTTTAGATCTTCTCCCATTGTCTCTCAAGCACCCTCATTCATCCCCATTCATTCAGGAGCCAAGTTACATAGGAGGGGTAGGTATGAGTCATAGGTTACAACATACTTACACAACATGGCATGGGGACAAGATGGAGACTTGATAAACAAAATGGAAACTTTGACATGACTTATGCTAACTTACATATGTAGGCCTAAATCATATAGTACCAGTAAAACAGTAATATGGAACAGTAAAAATCAATATAAACATAATAATTATACAAAATAAAGGAGGAGAAAAAACAAAACAAATACAACTTGCTACCAAAATAAAATGCTGAAGCTTATCCTATGTCTTAGTTCGCTTATACTTATCTATAGGGAATAGAGAGGGAGAGAAAAAGTCAGAAATGGTTGGGGAAAGGGAGGGAATACATTTTAAAATAAAAAATAAGAAAAACTGGGTGTTTTGCTACAATACTATGAAAATGAATGTTGAAAGATAGAGAATAGGTGGGAGGCTACTAGATGAATCTGACTCATTCTTTGGCTTCAGGAGTTTTACAGACTGATCATGATAATAGTAATGGCAATCTAATGTAATTCTGCTAATTTCACTGACTGACACAGAGTCTACCTACCCAGGAAACTTAATTTTGGATTAATGTAGATTTTTAATTTAAAGTAGAATAACTATACTCAGATATAAGAAGGTCCCATAGTTGAGTAAAACATATTAAAAGATTACTGTGGGTGACAACTTTTATTGGACCAAATGCATCACTGGGGCTACAACATCAATTCAACACTACCACATGTATTAAACTAAACCCTTGAAAAGCTCTTTGGAGCTTTCCAGAAAAAAAAATTAGATACACAAGCAAATGTGGATGTTAGTGAGGAGATTCACATACATACCTAAAGACAGAAATTGGCAGTATAAACCACACAGTAAACCACCCTCCATATAATTTTTGCATCACTTATCACTTTGTGACTACTTATCATTTTCAGATTATTATGCTTACCAGCACCTTTTGCTGGTGTCACACAGTGAATGCATTACTAATGAGCCAGCAATATAACACAGATTAAAGCAGTAGGACAAGTGTAAGATTGCATTTCTGGGTGACTGTATAATCAATAATAATAATAATGCTTAACTCTGATAGGACTTTTCATCCATGGATCTCTGCTGTGTGAGCAGCTAAGGTTTAAACCTGAAGTCTGAATGATTTAATCCACTTGAGAAGTGCAGTTATCTCCAGGAAATGCACTTCCTGGAGTGCTCTATTTCTCTTTTATTATTGAAATTATTTATGTTTTACTCAGTGCTCACTGTGGCAAGTTAAGCTGATTCCCCAAAGAGCCAGCACAAATGAGGGGAGTATTTGAAGATTAAGGAAAAAGTCCTGTTTACAGTACTGGGGATTGCCCATTTTGATGGGATAGCCTTACCAGTAGATTCTGGCTCCCCTCAATATATGCAATGGGAGAGGTGGGGCATGGAGGGGGGAAAGGAGCATGGCGATTTTCCTTCTGCCCTTTCCCCACATACTTGCTCAGGGGGTAGCCAGAATCCTGTTGCTCATTCTTGAGACACATGGCCCCTGAGTAGGATGACTCTAAGTCCCGGTTTAGCTGGGACACTCCAGGATTCCATAGCCTGGTCAAGGTCAGTTGGTCAAAAGTCCTGGTCCAGAGTCTTGTGAGGAGGTAAAGCAGCATGGTGTGCCAGGTAGGTGCCTGGACAGGCACCGCTGCTTCTGGGTGGGAGCAAGGATGTTCCATGTGTGGGCAGCGGAGCACCTGCTCCAGTCCACCCACCTTGCTCCTGCACAAGAGCAGCGGTGCCTGCCATCGTGCCTGGTGCAAGATGATACTCCACCTCCCTGCCAGACTCTAACCCATGACTTTTGACCAACCACCTGGGACCAGGCTATGGAACCTGGAGTGTCCCAGCCAAACCGGGATGCATGCTTACTCTACTCCTGAGGGGCTAAGAAACCTCTTTTATATTGGCTCTAGGAGGATACTGGAAAGGATATCCTGTACTTTAAGGGAGAAGTGTAAAATCATCCCCTAACCTGGGACATTTTGCCTGCCTTGGCACTCCCCTCTCAGAAATATAGCAAAAAAACTCCATTCTTGGGATTGAGGAGTGGATGGAAGTGAAGCACTGTAATCCCACTGGAATTCACTGAGACACTGGCACTTCACTCCCTCTGGTACCTTAGAGCTGGTAGCTCTAAGAACCTTTTCACTTTTGTAAAACAATTTTCAGAAAACTTTTTTTTTTTTTTAGACCAGAAGAGATCAACTAATCAAAACTCAAATTCTTCTCAAATCAGGTTAGTTTTGATTATAAAAAAGAACTTGAAAATAAGGTTTTTACATTAGCTAAACATCTCATGTCGACAATTCTCAAAGTCTTATTTTTGATTCAAAGTTCTTTTTGATCCTATATTAGGGAATTTGATACTAAAAAGGTTAATGAATGAGTCTAAATCAAAACAGGTAAAATTTATCAAAGAAACATTTTAATTGAACTAATCTTTTTTTTTTTTTCAAATTTACAACAGGTTTTTTTTTTATTTTATTTTTTCAGCCATTTTGGGCTGAGAAAATCGTGATTCAGAAGAAAGCATGTCTTGACCAGCTCTAGTTAGTTATATAAAAACCAGGAGGGCCAAAGATAGGGCCCATGGCCTGATCCAGCCCATGCAGCTGTTTCACTCCGCCCACACAGCTTCTGGGGGGGACAGGAATTTAAGGGTCACTTGGAGCACGTAACATGAAGGCCCACTGCTAAAATGTGGGTTACAGAACCATGCTGGATATGCATGTGGGTGGTAGAGCAGGAATAACAGCTGTTTTAACCTCTATGCTGTTGCTGCCACCACTCACCCTGCCACTACTGCCATTCACTCTTCTGCTGCTGCTGCTTACACCACCAAGCTGGGGCTGGGTAGCTGTGATACCCCTGTATTTAAAGTATGGTTTTTATAGCCCCTGTTCTCAAGGTACTTAAACATGGCAAGAGGATGTTCACATGCCTAGAAACAGGGGTGTATTAAGGATGTTATTAAATTGAGGCCTTTATGAGATCAGATTTTCTTTCAGGATGAGCAAAATTGAATGCTCATCCTGAAAGAAATGAGCCATTAGAAGAAAACACCCCAAACATGAATGGACTAAGAATCATGGACCTTGTACAAATATAGATTTTAATCTGTATTGAATTTCAAATGTCCACATACTTTGAAAACCCTACCTCTTTTCTTTATCCCTCAGATCATACTATCTCCTGTGGGTGAATATGTTACTTGATATTTTTACCCCACAGTGAGTGAGATACTTCACCATTCATTATAAGACCATGGAGCAAACCACTTAAAAAGGAATGTACATTCAATGGAATATTTGCACCCACGCACAGAAATTTTACATTTTATTTCCTTTTCTTCCTATTACTTTGTAGCTGGAAGGGGAAAATTCATTTAACATTCATCTCAGAAGGGCCTTTTAAGGGCACTTGTAGATGATCCAAGCAATACAGAAGTAATTAGCAGGGCTCTCAAGATTAGGACATATAAATCTCAATTATCCTTTTCAACCAGTTTTAAAATAGTGTCATTACAGTGACTTTAGGGGAGTTGCTTCTAATTTTCATGTTCCTTTATGAGAGAGGAATCTGGCCTGTCATAAACACAGTGCTACTTTTAAAATATGATGTTTTACACTTGTACAACATCTTTCATCACAAAGTGTCTCCAAATACTTCACAAGCTCCAATATATACTCCAATATATACTCCAAGTGAGGTGGGAGAAACCAACTAAATGCAAAGCAGTTGGGGAAATAGGAATATTGCTCATATACCTGAGCAAACACTAATTTTTACAAAAAGTGCCATGGGATCTTTGAAGCCCATGACAAACAGATGGGGCCTCCTCCAAGGTCTCAGCTAAAGGACTCAAAAAATAAACCACGAAGAACCCAATTTCCACTAAATTCTGAATGCATCTCACTGGCCTTCATGCATCAAGTAATTATGGAAACAAGTCTTTTATATGTTTTGGAAATCCTGGGTGAGCCATATTGGGGCTTGAATCTATTGTTGCATGGGACTGGGTAATCCAAAATTGATTTTTTAGGTCACTGACCAATCTTTCATGTAAAAATACCTTTTTTGATGTTGT